GTTCATGCAACAATTTTCATTTTATTCATCTTTATAAGATTCAAGGTTTTTGGAAGTCTTGGAAAAGGTCTTATAAAACTTGACTTTTATACCCTATAAAAGGGAAAAATTTAATACAGTTTTAGAGAAATGAGATTTTCTTGAATCCAGCCTTAGATACTAATGCTTATTAGCATGATGTGATATAAAGAGTGATTTGTGGTGTCTTGCAATGATAGCAAAAGCCTTTTACACTATGTATTATAGAATATATGACGGAAATAGAAGACAAAAAGTACCAAATAAGTATAAAAATCATGGCAATTTCTCTGACACCTATCGTTTTTAACCTAAAATATATTTGTTCATCAATTTACAATTAGAAAATGCATTGCTGATATTCCAATTTGCTTTTTCTGCAAAAATATTGGAGATTTGACATTTTTCACTATGTAATATGATTAACTTTGATTTTTAACTTAAGGGACAATATCCCTCTGCTCTAAATTTTACGACTTTTTTTTTAAAATTCCAAACATTGATTTTCAGCAACAACTACAGCATTAAATTCAAATGGAAAATAGTTTGAAGTATGAAGCGTTGCTTAATTTTTCAGAAATGAATAATATGTCATATCATGATGTGAAGAAAATTTGATATTGTAAATAGAAAGATCAATTATTTTTTTATCTCACAATTAAATTATAAATATGAGGTATATATAAAAATAATATTTACTCTCATACTTATCTAATTCTCATTAGAAAACATACTGAAGCGTTGCTTTTTAAATCAGAATATCATTTTTTTTCTGTGCATGTAAAATAATACGCATCCATAAACAAGAGTTATCGTTCCATTATCGCCCTTGAAAATATATTTTAATGAAACAAAATGTTAATTTAATGTTGATAAACAATTCTGCATCTAAAATTTCTGTACAATTAAAAGACTTACACATTAGGAGATATAAATTTCTCAATTTACACCGTTTAAAGGACCTGAGTATAAATGTTTTAGGTAAACCATTATAAATAATTAATAATTATACGAGCAATAGATCCTAGAAATCATTATCTGTACGTTAGAACATGTTTGTTTGAGTTGCCTATAAATGGTTCATATGAATGAAATTTGTAAACCCTGGCATGAAAATTCACTGAATTTCATGTCCAAATGTCTGCAGACAGTTATCTCTCTTATCAGAGGGATATTCCACCTTAAAAGAAATCCTGTGGATAAATTTACATAACTTTGTGGATTCAGATATAGTTTCATGAGTACTTTTGATTACGTAACTGCTAATTTTATATACCTGAGGATCAGACTACCGTAAATAAAGGTTAACCGATCTTTTGGACCATTGAAGTATTTTGATGGTCATTTTTTAAAAAGAATGTTAACATAGTCATATTAATTGCCCTTTAAATATAATGTCCCTTTTCATTTTTACAAACTTTAAAATCAAATTAATCTTTGTAAAGTGTAGAAATAAGATTTGTATCTTTATTTTTTTTTATTAATCCATATGAAAAAAGTCCAATGGCTTCGAATTATTGGTATACTTTTGTTTGCAATACCTCCAGCTTGTGTTAGAAATTATCACCAGATGCTAATTTTATTCAATTTTTAATTGTTTTTAGAACACCCTTTTGAATATAACCATTCGTTTACTGGAATATGGCAGATCCTATGATTACCTGTACTTGTTTTTTTTCTGAAATGTGGTTTTTTAAGTTTGGTAAAAGGAACAAGTCAAAGTTTGAAATATCAGGCGAATATGGTTTGGGTGACAAAACATTAACTTTCTGTTTGCGTTCTATACTCCTTCAGATATTGAACCCCCCCCAATAAAAATTTTAGCAACAAGTCCACTAATATTTAGGAAAATAGCATACAAAACTGTTTTTGTGCCCTTGCAATTCCTTGCTCTTCTCAGGCCATTGCTGTTTCATCAAGCGCATCTTATTGTTAATTTGCTTTAAGGGTTTCAAGCAAAATGGATTCAAGTTTCATAATCTCTTTGAATTACAGACAAACGTGGATAGGTACAATTTTTGATTTTATTAAATGATTTTTAGATATATTCTACACGCTGTTGTTTTCACTCATTCTTCAAAATATAGGGTGACCTTTGAGTATTTAACCTTTATACTATTAAATGTTGCTTCAAAAAGTGTGAACTACCCCCAAAATGATGTCTTAAAGTCAAACAAACATAATCAATGATAAATTGCATGTTGTTGAATATTTGCAAATATACATTGGTTGTTGTATTTCTTTGTCGCCAGGTAAGGTAACCATTTTTGATGCCCATTACATATATATATATATCATTTTTTGTCGTTGAAATCCACCTGCTTATTTGTGTATTAAACTGACATTGGTTGCTGTAAATTTCACATATTTCAGTTAATATTTCATTGGGATTCTCAATTCATTAAAGATTCAGTAATGAGAGACAGTCAAGCTGAATGTCTTATAATTCCTGTGTTGTATGTCTTGGAGGTAATGGCATTATTTATTGAACGTCTCTCGTATTAAGGCAAAAAAAAAAAATCAAATGTACGTTAAACATAAATTCAATGGAAAGCTTAAAAATGATTCCAAGTTTTTAACACACGAATTAATGTAAAACCATGAGTAAATTATCTACTAGTCAGTATCTACATGTATGCATTTTTCTACAAATACCCCAGTGGAAAGAATCTTCAGATAGCAGGAAAATCTTAAAACTAAAAGATACCGTATAAGTAGAATTTCTAGCGAGGATTTAATTTTGGCATTATTGCGAGGGTGCCGAGATCGCTAAAATTAAATATCGCTAATAATTTATTGCGTTTCATTTGTAATAGCATCTTAAATGTGCCTTTTAAAATCGCTAAAATAACATCTCGCTAAATATAAATTACCAGTTTTTAAGGACAAATTGCTAAATTTGCGTCTCGCTAAAATTTCCACTTATACGGTATATATAAGGTTAGGGGACATGTTATTTAAAAATTGTATGAAGAATTAATGATATTATTGTAAAAAATGTTGTAAAATAATCTGTTATAAATATAAAGGAATGTACATGACTACTTTTTCATGTGTATTCTTAAATGTAATTTGTAATTTAATTAATTACATTTGCAAAGTAATTGCAATTTAATGAATTACTTTCCTATGTAATAGACCCCATCCCTGTCCACAACACGTTTGTTCGATTCTAGTTCGTTCCACACAGTACCAATAGCGAAGTTCAAAACTTTACAGTAATTCTTATTTCACAAAAATAGCATGAGAAGGTTTTAAAATCATACAAAAAAAATTTATAAAAAGTCGTGGAAAATATTTTCATGGCATTTTCACACTAGTTTTATAAATACATGTATAAATACGATGGTTAAATGACCGTCGATCTAATCATGTTTCCTAGATAAGCCTCTGAAAAGCTGGTAATTATATATCCCTCTGCTCAAAGGTTAAGCAAATATACTGGATCACATCAATCGGGTTTGACTGACACAATAATTGTCAAAATAACCAGTAAAAGAAAGAAGATTGCGTGCTGAAAAGTCTACGAATTTACTCAAAATCTGCACAAAAATGCGATCCACGACGATTCTCGAAAATGGCAACATTTGGTTTAACATGGAAGTCCATGTTCCCCACCCTTCTTATTCATAAAATTATGGTTTTTTCTCTTTTCCCACGAAAAAAATCTTATTCGTGGAATGCTTTGGGTTCTGCCACTTCTCAGTTTATAAATACAATATACCAAAAAATACGAGGGGGGATCAAAAAGTTCGCGAACTAATTGAATTACTTCCAAAAAAGAAATGATACAGGGTTTCGGTGTGTTGAAAATGTTTTAAAGTAGTCCTCTCTGATTGTAATGCGCATCTGCAAAAATTCTGTCCATGCGCGATCACGTGATAGTGGCGGTCATCTGACATGCTCCTTAGCGTTCTGTCACAGAACCTTCAAAATGTTTCCGACTCTTCTTTTTTACCATGCAAGTCATTTTTTTTTTGCAGCAATGGCCTAATCTCGGCAATAGTATGGGTGAATGATGATATCCTTTTGAAGAATAAGCATGGTGACCATGAAAACCCAAGTCCTCTGTCTTTTGAGCGTCTTCGGTGCCTTCAATTTATCATATCTAATATGTTTTAAGTCTAAAGATAAATTATATTTTAGAGATTTATTAATTATTTTATTGTAAAGATATTTATCTATTTTTCTAACTATAAGTTGGTGATCTCTCATATAAAATTGCTTAACAAAAGACACGTTTCTCTCCCAGTTTGCTTTCACTGGGCAACAGAACAAACATCCTTTTTAAACATCTCCCTACCTTCACTTAAACAATCAATCCAATTAATGAAAAAGTCTTCTGGCAAGTCTTTTGTCTTCGTTTAACCATATACAAATTATTATAAACTTTTACAAATGACTTTTCAAGATATATTTTTAACTTAACAGCCGTTCGTTTCTCGAATACGACTAAGTCAACCAATTTTTGTCACGAGTGACCTACCTTAATGCATTTTTAGCTCACCTGAGCCAAAGGCTCACGTGAGCTTTTCTGATCAAAATTTGTCCGTTGTCTGTCGTTGTCGTCGTCGTTGTTATAAACTTTTCACATTTTCATCTTCTTCTCAAGAACCACTGGGCCAATTTGAACCAAACGTGTTACAAAGTATCCTTGGGTAAAGGGGATTCAAGTTTGTTCAAGTGAAGGACCACACCCTTTTCCAAGGAGAGATAATTATGAATTAGAGAAAAATTAATGGCATCTTAAAAAAAATCTTCTTCTCAAGAACCACTGGGCCAGGAAAGATGAAACTCATGTGGAATCATCATCAGGGAGTGTAGATTCAAGTTTGTTCAAATCATGACCCCCGGGGGTAGGAAGGGGCCAAAATGGCCGATCAAAGTTTTACATAGGAATATATAGGAAAAATCTTTAAAAATCTTCTCAAGAACCACTGGGCCAGGAAAGATGAAACTCATGTGGAATCATCTTCAGGTAGTGTAGATTCAAGTTTGTTCAAAGCATGACCCCTGGGGGTAGGGTGGGGCCAAAATGGCTGATCAAATTTTTACATAGGAATATATAGGAAAAATCTTTTAAAAATCTTCTTCTCAAGAACCACTGGGCCAGGAAAGATGAAACTCATGTGGAATCATCCTCAGGTAGTGTAGATTCAAGTTTGTTCAAATCATGACCCCCGGGGGTAGGGTGGGGCCAAAATGGCCGATCAAAGTTTTAAATAGGAATATATAGGGAAAATCTTTTTCTCAAGAACCATTGAGACAGGAAAGATGAAACTCTTGTGGAATCATCCCTAGGTAGTGTAGATTCAAGTTTCTTCAAATCATGATCCTCTGGGGTAGGGTGGGGCCAAATGGTTGATCAAAGTTTTAAATAGGAATATATAGGGAAACCTTTTAAAATCTTCTTTTCACGTACTTCAAAGCCATGCTTAGTGATATTTATAGGGAATCATCCTCAGGTATCGTAGATTCTAGTTAGTTCAAAACATGACCCCCTGGGGGGATAAAATTCAAGCTCCCTCCCCCTCACCGCCATCAGTAAATTTTCAGTTCTGTTCTAATATGTGCTCTTTTCTAGCCAATTACTCAGGTGAGCGATGTGGCCCCTGGGCCTCTTGTTACATTGTGACGTCACAAACACGGGGGAAAACGTTCCATTACATATGTTATTTATAGAACATGTGTATGACTTTATGCGTGCCAAATTTCATTCTAATCTGAATTTTGATTTTGTAAATATAGAGATAGTTCGCGAACTTTTTGATCACCTCTCGTATACCATAAATTAATTGAAAACTTTGATTGAATAATTGAAGTTATGTGTGTTTGTAATAGGATAGTATTTTGATGAGGATCATTAAAACACGTAACAAAACTATTCTTTTGTGTGATTTTCTTAACGGCAATAACATTATTTACTGAATGTCCTTTGAAACGTTGCTACTCTTACGACGCTTGCGGTGTTTCAGAGATAAGATTAATTTTCCCAACATATTTTTGCCAGGCCATGCGTTGTGCTTTGTATTCCGAGTTTCTTGTTCATTCAGGCCACTACCCCAAAACATGTCATCGCTTGCTTCAACAAGGATGTAATTTGAGCCGAAACCTGTTACTTTCTCCCGGAATAACTCAATTTGCTTGAATTTAGCTTGTAAGACTCTTTTCATAATATTTTTTTGTCTTTTTTCCCGATCTGAAATATTCATTGCATTGATATTAATATTTTCCAATTTTTCGTATTCCTGGTACGCATTTTCAGCAGATCTATATATCCTCCCATCAATTTCTATATTTACGGTAAAGGAATTTGAAAGAACATCGTGTCTTTTGATAACGACGACATTATCATCTTGCTTTACATAACTTTCGCAGTTCACAGAGCCAGCAACATGTCCTTCTTTTTTGCAAACTTTGCATTGTTGATGATTGGTGTTGTCAACTTTTGTATTGTTGTTTATCCATACTAGAACGACAACAGCAACAACAGCAACTACCATCTGAAATTCATTTACATGAGCTTGATTAATTATTTTAATTATAAATAAATATTCAACTCACAAACAATTAATAATTGCACTAATAGAATTTCACAAGTGATATACTTGTAAGTATATATATCTATATAGCATAACATATAAACTCACTGTTCGATAATATCACATTTTGAAAAAATATATTTATAATTTTTTTCTCTGAATAGATGGTCCAAGCAATTTTTTGATATATCAATACAAAAATTCAAATAAAATTAATTTACATTAAATAATTTTTAATCATTTTGTTAACAGAAAATGCTTTAGTAAAATTGTTTGCTATACATGTACCTCTAAGATAAAATAACCAATCACGACGTAAGAATGAAGAACTATTTTGTCCCTTAAAACTTCGTAACATCCCTGTAGATAAATTATTTTGTATTATTAATGAACTAATATAAATTTTATAGATTTTTAATTCAGGGTGGCAAAACGACAAGAAACATGTTTAGTAATAATTTAATTATTCCGAAGTAAATAATTTTCAGTTACTTTGGTGTTATATGTTCCACTATCAACATTTGCATGGCATACTAAAGGAGCTGAAGAGTACGTGCTGACAGTGACATCCTTACAGCAGGTCTTTGGAATTTGTGAATTCGTTTGTTGACACTCTCCACTAGTAGTGCACCAAGGAGTATTGTCAAAATCATTAGTCGTGCTGAACACAGGATTTACTGCACAACAGTCCAGCTTATTAAAAAATTAATAAATGATAATTGCAATATTTCCACATCAATATTATGACCCAGGACTCATTTAAACCGATATATATATATATATATATATATATATATATATATATATATATATATATATATATATATATATATATATATATATATATATATATATATAGAAAGCACAGAGAAATTCACTTTTACAATATATATATATATATATATAAGGAATGTTTTTAAGTTTTGTGTGAGTTATTGGTGTGTGAATCACACAGACTTGTCACGTAGGCATATTTCATGAAGCGCGCTAGCGCTTCATGAAAAATATGCCTACGTGCAAGTCTGTGTGATTCTCACAACAATAATTCACACTAAACTTAAAAACATTCCTTTTATTTACATTTTACATGTTAAGAAGCACAAAAAATATACTCAATATTTGAATTTCTTTCTGCCCTATATCGTTATACTTTTACTAACGTCGCTGTAGCCTTATTGTGACGTCACGTTTCTCCGTGTATATTTCTACACGTGAGTATACACGAAAATGGTTTTCAAATCAATTTCACAGTTGGCTTAGTAAAAAAATACAGTGAATGTAATATATATATATATATATATATATATATATATATATATATATATATATATATATATATATATATATATATATATATATATATATATATATTATATATATCTCGGTTTAAATGAGCACATTTGAAGCACATTTTACAACAACTCTTAAACTAACATAACTGCCCTAAGTGAAGAAATATTAATACAGAAAGCACAAAGAATTTACTTTTATATGGAAACCTACTTCCGCCCTAGCCCGGGGTTGAAATCTCGACCTTCGGAATTTGTCTCCTAGCAATGCATGAACAGCGCGCTAGATCGCTCGCCTATCTAGGCAAGTCAAAAAAACTTGCTTTCGATGCCGATGGAAGTGGGTATCCATATAAAAGTGAATTTCTAATTTTCGAATTTGTAAAATGTGCTTTATAAATAATAATTAATTTCATGTAACAATCCTCTGTTAAAACTAATGTCAAATAACTGTATCTCACTTCTATTCTCAATGACCGTGTAGTGTAGGACAGCGACGCGAGAATTCCATCGACATCGAAAGCAAGTTTTTTTGACTTGCCTAGATAGGCGAGCGGTCTAGCGCGCTGTTCCCGCACTGCTAGGAGACAGATTCCGAAGGTCGAGAGTTCAACCCCGGGCTGGGGCGGAAGTAGGTATCCACATAAAAGTGAATTTTTTTGTGCTTTCTATATTAATATTTCTTCACTTAGGGCAGTTATGTTAGTTTAAGAGTTGTTGTAAAATGTGCTTTATAAATAATAATTAATTTCATTACAACGTGTATTGGTAACAATCCTCTGTAAAAACTAATGTCCAAATAACTGTATCTCACTTCTATTCTCAATGACCGTGTAGTGTAGGACAGCGCCGCGAGAATTCCATCGGTATCGAAAGCAAGTTCGAGAGTTCAACCCCGGGCTGGGGCGGAAGTGGGTATCCATATAAAAGTGAATTTCTTTGTGCTTTCTATATATATATATATATATATATATATATATATATATATATATATATATATATATATATATAAAGCACTACAAAAACCAACAACACTGTATATCCTAAATGTCGGATCTACCAAGTAGATACAAGGTCAAGGATGGAAATTTATATAAAGCACTAAAAATGACCAACGACACGAGCAATAAAAATTGTCAAATTTTCGGGACGCCCTGTCCCTTCCTCGGGACAAAGAAAAAAGTTAAAAAGTCATAAGAACAAAGGAAAAAGAGAAATAAAAACAACTAGCACTACTACTAAACTACTAAACACTAGATATTTACATACTTAATTACATGTTGAATTGTAATTTTTTAAGAACACTAATAAAGAAAGAAATCCGGACCGCTATGAAATTCGTCCGGTCTATCGGGTATACTCGGGTGAAGTGCGATTTACATAATTGAACGAATTAATTATGCTAATTAATTACGACAATCAGTAAATCGTACATTGTTTCATTCTCTCAAAATGGCGTAACTTTACTTAATAAAGAATAATGAAAGAAAAATCATACAGTAGGGATATTTAATCCTATGAATTGTGATCAATTATAAATTTTGAAATATTTAAGGACTTATTATCGGGAAAAAATAATTAACAAAGGCGTAAGCAATACATAGTTATGTGGTTGTTCGAGTTCGAGAGTTGGTGGCACAAATTAACTGTAGAGTTTACACTAAATTGAGAGAATAATTTTGTTTAGTATGATCAGGAATTGGGTCTAATTTACGTTCATTCTGGTGAAGTCATTCAATTTGTTAATACCATTTGGGCGGAATGACTTCAATCTGTGCATCCAGAACTTTTCTTTGCTTTTCCTTTGAGCATCTGTCCATCTTGGGTTATGGTCAATCACCACGATGAGGGTATCGAAGCCTGTAGAGAAGTCTGGGATAGTAGATCCATACAAGTTCCTTCTACCGAGTCCCTTGCTAAGCTCCTTGAACATGTTCTCAAGTTCAACAACTTCATGTTTAATGGAGAACATTACCTGCAAGTTAATGGCACTGCTATGGTTACGAAAATGGCACCGTCTTATGCCAATGTCTTCATGGGCAGACTGGAACGCAACTTGTTACTTCAAGCACCATTTAGGCCTCATAGCTGGTTGCGTTTCATTGACGATATAGAGATGAAGTGGGTGGATTGTCGCGAGAACCTCGAGGCATTCATTACGTTTGCCAACACCTTTCATCAGTCGATCAAATTTACAGTAGACGTATCTAATTCGAAAAACGTATTCCTAGATACTACATCTACCCTGATTGATGGTGAAATCGAATTCAGTCTCCACACCAAACCCACAGACTCCCACCTATATCTGATGCCCACTAGCTGTCATCCCCCTCACACTTTTAAGGGAGTGCCTAAGGGTCAAGCCACCAGAATTCGACGCATCTGTTCGTCCCCTGCCTTATATCAGGAGCAAAGTGGTCTTCTTAAGTCCCACTTATGCAAAAGAGGCTACAATGCCCGCACCGTACAAACAGCTATTGATGAGATGGCGGAACATGACAGGCAAAAGGCAAAACCTATTACGCTACAAGGAAAAAGACAATAGCGACAGGGTCCCTCTGGTAACCACATACCATCCCGTCCTTAAGAACCTTAGCGGTATCCTTCAAAAGAACCTACCAATTCTCCATTCAAACAAACGAATGGCAGAGGTCTTTAAGGAACCCCCATTGGCTGCATACAGACGCCCAAGGAATCTAAAGGACATGGTAGTAAGAACCAGACTGGACAACCCATTACCTAACGGGGGCTTTAAAACTTGCTCTGACAGGAGATGTCTTCTTTGTAAGCACAGCACTGGCACAGACAGTTTTAACAGCCCTGTTACAGGCCGCAGCTACAAAATACTAGGGAATTTGTCCTGTCATACTGACAACTGCATTTATCTCATCAGTTGCAAAGTTTGCTCCAAACAGTATGTTGGTGAAACAGGAGATCTCCGTAGGAGAGTCAATAACCACCGTTCGACCATTAGGACCAAAAAACTCAATGAACCTGTTGGGGAACATTTCAACCTTGAGGGTCACAAATGGGAGGACATGACAGTAGTGGTGATTGACCATAACCCAAGATGGACAGATGCTCAAAGGAAAAGAAAAGAAAAGTTCTGGATGCACAGATTGAAGTCATTCCGCCCAAATGGTATTAACAAATTGAATGACTTCACCAGAATGAACGTAAATTAGACCCAATTCCTGATCATACTAAACAAAATTATTCTCTCAATTTAGTGTAAACTCTACAGTTAATTTGTGCCACCAACTCTCGAACTCGAACAACCACATAACTATGTATTGCTTACGCCTTTGTTAATTATTTTTTCCCGATAATAAGTCCTTAAATATTTCAAAATTTATAATTGATCACAATTCATAGGATTAAATATCCCTACTGTATGATTTTTCTTTCATTATTCTTTATTAAGTAAAGTTACGCCATTTTGAGAGAATGAAACAATGTACGATTTACTGATTGTCGTAATTAATTAGCATAATTAATTCGTTCAATTATGTAAATCGCACTTCACCCGAGTATACCCGATAGACCGGACGCATTTCATAGCGGTCCGGATTTCTTTCTTTATTAGTGTTCTTAAAAAATTACAATTCAACATGTAATTAAGTATGTAAATATCTAGTGTTTAGTAGTTTAGTAGTAGTGCTAGTTGTTTTTGTTTCTCTTTTTCCTTTGTTCTTATGACTTTTTAACTTTTTTCTTTGTCCCGAGGAAGGGACAGGGCGTCCCGAAAATTTGACAATTTTTATTGTTCGTGTCGTTGGTCATTTTTAGTGCTTTATATATATATATATATATATATATATATATATATATATATATATATATATATATATATATATATATATATATATATATGTAAGTTTTATATTCCATACAACTGTAAAACAGAACAAGATCTAAAAATTCTTTAACCAATATTTTGTAATTTAATGTTCCTTCGAGAATTTTCAGTCAGATGGAGGTGCCACCATTTGCCAATAGAGGGCTGATTTTGACCGATACTCAGCACTTAGGCCTTTGAACAGGGAACTATCTTTTGGTGCTAAAACTTAGTGCATCACGGGTCTTCGGATTATACGGTCTCCTCTTTGTACAGCGTTTGATTGATAAAGAGCAGATCCTTAATTGCTGTTTGACATTTGAGTACACAATCTAACCACTGCTCTGCGTGGGCGATTATGTGGGCGACTGTTTGTTTCAGTCTTGTGTCAACTGATTTATATTAACTGTCAGGCCTTTGTCTGTTTACGAAAATTAACCACGGAATTACAATCATCCTGTTCAAAATATAGATCTCAAGGCGGGTTTGAGAGGTTCCCAAGGGTACTCCTCCTAAGAACCTTACATTCTAAATCCTACAGAAAAGTAATTACTATGTACTCTTTAATGAAAATGAAATTTCTTTACAATATTGTATAATTAACTATATTTTCTCCAATTTTGGTGTTTATGCTTTCACAAATATGAATTTTATATCGTTTTAACTCCGGACCAAATTCAGACGTTTTGAAAAAATTGCGGCTGCATTGCCACAGGCGGCGCACTTAACTGTGATCAAGTGTCTGATCCTGAATTCGCTCCCACAGAAATGTACAAATCATAAATGTTTGGCAGACAAGGAACGTTTTCTGACTTAGTATTTAAATACTTAGTATTTAAAATGACTGATATGGTTACTCTATGTATTTGGATAGGAGAAACTAAGAAAAAAGACAGGCCTTAGAATTTAGTAAGAGTGCCAAAGTGCATCTCCATTATAGATAATAGACGAAAAGCCTGCAGAAATATAGGATTTTCAAATTATTATTTCATACCTGTTCATGCATATACTTTGTTTACATATTTTAATGTTTAATCACATCATAGTTATGAAGATATTTAACATCCATATCTATAATCGTTTTGATTAATTAAAGAATTTGAATTTGGTAATTTCGATTTCCTCCAAAAACTGAACCGTTGACATTTGTCGGTTTTTACGTTGCAGATTGCTACTGATGTGAAAGACCGATATCATTTCCAATTTTTTTTTACTCTAATTGTTTTAGATTCAACGCTAAAACTTTGTAATTTTTCTGCCAAGAAACGCTCTATCCGCAAGGAAAATTTTTATAAAGATGCATTATTTTGTTTAAAAGGTATAAACTCAGTCTTTGAAATTTTGGGACAACCCCTCTCGTACATTGATAATATTTTCTAAATATTATTATTTGGAAAGGTACATTGTTGAGTCCGTATATATGTACGAGGTGTGATTAAAAAGTTTATCTCTCTTTATTTACAAAACCACAATTCAGATCAGAATGAAATTTGGCACACATAAAGTCATTCACATTTTCCATAAATAGCATACGTAAAAGAACTTTTTCCCCGTGTTTGTGGAAATTTATAATAATTTGTACACGGTTTATGAAGACAAAAGACTTGCCAGAAGTTTTGTCATTAATTCGATTGATTGTTTATGTGAAGGAAGGGAGATATTTAAAAAGGATGTTTGTTCTGTTGTCCTTTGTTAAGCAAATTGTTAGGAAAGATCGCCAACTTACAGTTAGAAAAATAGATGAATATCTTTACAATGATATAATTATCAAATCTCTAAAATATCGTTTACTTTAGACTGTAAACATATCAGATATGATGAAGCAAAGGCATCCATACGTTTTCCACATGAAATAAATGACACTCAAAAGACAGAGGACTTGGGTTTTGATGGTCACCATGCTCATTCCGCAAAAGGATAGCATTGTCCACCCATACTATTGCCGAGGTTAGGCTATTTCTGATAAATGTACAGTTTTTGTTGCAAAAAATAACTTGCATGGTAAAAAATATAAGAGTCGGAAAAATTTTTAAGCTTCTGTGACAGAACGCCACGGAGCATGTCACGTGACCGCCTATATCACGTGATCCGCGCATGGGCAGAATGGTTGCAGAAGCGCATTTAAATCGGAGAGGACTACTTTAAATCATTTTTATCACTGAAATCTTATATCATTTCTCTTTTTGAAGTTATTCAATTAGTTCGCGAACTTTTTGATCACCCATCGTACGTTTCGTATGTTTCTAAATAGATGCTGATTTACCTTTTTCACACTTATCAAAACACAATTATTTACATAACGAATTGTCTACTGATTTGTTCGGTTTTAACTGATCATGACAAGTGCCACACTGCGGTTGTGATCTATCGACAGGGGATTTTCACTTCCTCATGGTACCTGATACCAACACTAATATTTAAGAGTCCAAATTTTTCTTGCTCCTGATTTGTGATGGTTCAAAAGAATTATACGCTTAAATATTGTTCGTTTCCTACATTTTTTTAATCACAGTTTGTTATGTTAACTTTTCCCCATTTTTTCCCATTCAAACCATAAACACAACAAAAAACTTACGTTAGTTAATTTCTTACAGGAAGTGTAAATTTTATAAAATCGGTTTTTCAAAGCATGAGTAATTACTTCCCCTAACTTACACTAAAACATCTATGCTTAAACATACGAAAGTTAAAATTGTCTACACATGTAGAAATACTACTTCAGGTAAGATACGCTTTTTTTCTTGATCGTGAAAAGGAGCGCACGGCAGGTATGATAGGTGGAAAGAAAATATTCATCCATGATACCTGATCCCAACTTATATATTTAAGATTGCTGGTCGTTATCTCCATAGATTTCAAATTAGTAATTTAAGATTTTCTTTTGAAATATAATTAAATGTATTTGTGTTTAAAATAAAAAAAAATTTCAATAAAGATATACCTCCATAAAAATTTTGCTCCATGAATTCGGAAATGAAACTAAGTTGCTGACTTCATCTGCATCCTCTGTAAAGTATGTTTTCATGTTCTCAAGCAAATAATCTTTTGATTCGTCCTCTTTAATCTATAGAAGATATATACATATATAATGTAGAATAAAAGCAAAAGAGATATGCATTTTATGTGATATTGCTGCAATTTTACACGAAAAAATAGCATTTTTTGTTACCTTTATGTTGATATGAATCCACAAACCAAAGACAATTAGCGTTGATGTAATTAAAATACCAAAAAATAAGCCCTGTAAAAAGATAAAATAAAAAATGCTTTATTATATGCAGAAGGTCCAAAGTATAAAAACTGTTATAAGATTACAACCGTGTTTGCAATATATGAATTTTTATCATTGATAGTAAAAATCTTATTTGAAAATAAAACAGTACATTTTGAAAGAAACGGTATTCCAAAGCTGAACATATTATTGTCGCAATTTCTTTAGTGATTGTGTCTTCAATAGTGAGGACTCGTGGCAAGTGTGAACGGTCAGCAGGAGATGTTTTCTCCTCCTAGTCATCTGGTCCTATCTTTTAATTTCAAAGTGTTTTTGATTTATGCTTGATCACATGTTGTATTGTTTATAGTATTTTTAGACAATAATTATCGTTGTTTTATCTTTACATTTTTAAATAAAGCAATTTTCTCAACTGTTGCATTCCCAAAATATTGAGTAAAAATCTTTCTTCCGCAAGCTACTGTAAATTGTTTTTAATCATGATTTTTATTTCTTTTCTTTGCATATATTACGTTATACATTCCTACGTCAGCAGTATATGTGTCATATTGATCGTTTGTAAGATTTCAAACTCGTCACTCATTACACCGTTCCGTAGACAAGGAGAAAACTTTTGGATTAGAACTTAGAACAGCCTTTACCTGTGGATTTAATGACAATGTCGATAGTGTTGGATATTTTTTCCTGTCAACAGTGTTACAGTATAAAATATATGATGGACTTTTTAACCATATACAGAGATATAAGCGTAGTCAGGGGCATCGGTCGGCAATAAACCTTTACTACAACATGTCTCATTTTGTTCATTACAATATACTACACTGTGCGTTATGTGAATCAATAGTTATGTCTACATCACATATACACTGAACTGTACCATGTCCCTTTATATCTTTTAAAATGTCTTCTTGAAAAGGTCAAGGAAACATTTTTTTTTAATTCTCGACACCAACATATCGGCACGGATCTGTGATTCTGGATATTGAAAATCAAAGACTTTTTAACCTCCCACCTTTTGCTAAAAAATGCAGCTAAAACAATCTGCCAAAAAAGAAATTGACGCGGTTAATTTAAGAATTCTTCCAAATTCTAAAAGGATCTACTTTTGTATTTTACTATATTTAAAGTTATAGACTACATCTTGTATTTCCTATCCAATTCATCGACCTCTGCCTCAAAAAGTTTTAATGAAAAAAAAACTTTATAGGGCCTGGATATCAAGTATCTGAAACATTCTCCTCCATCGTGTTCATGTACTTCTTCACCCTATAACTACATGTATAGGTCTGCTGCACACGATATTACAGGTGACGTAATTATAGTTAACAAAAAGGACCATAATTCACTTATTTTAAAGGTCCTAAATACTGTAAAACAAGAATATTTGGCGCACTATTAATTTCAGCGCCTTTGGCGCAAGAGCCTCTGGACGTTAAAATTTATTGTGTGCTAACAGATTTCTAAATATTATTTTTTGTTTTTAAAGCCTTTAAATGTGTACATATAAACCGCACTGCGCTATTACCTATGTTGAAGGGTCGTTGGATTTCAAATACACACTAGCACTGTACATGGTAGGATCGATAGGGGAATTTCTGCAAAATTATAATTTATTAAACTACTGTTAGTTTTACCCGACATTATCATAAGCACCTTCAGATTTTGACTTCTCGGAGTGCCAATTATCTATCGCCTCGAGGAAAACAATGTAATCAAGCATGGCGATTGAGCTTGTAGACAATATCTGATTATGATTAACATTTATCCAAGTAACTTTCTTTCGATATATGCATAGTTTTAATATGAATAAAATGCGTAAATACTCCATTTCTTTTATCTCTAGTAAAATGATATAAAATCTAACACTGTCTTACGTCCATGTGATTGCAACACTACGGTATTGTTGACGAGTGTTTACTTGTATATGGGAGTGCTATTGTGTTTCCGTGTTTGACTAACCAAAAAGTCAAATTAAAAAATATCACATGTATATTTCACAAGTCCCATATTTTAATGATACCAGTAAGTGCAAGCGCTAAAATTTATTTGCACCAATGCATTCCAACTTGCGTTTGCGCTTAAATATGCATGCGTCAATTTTTCTCGTTTTATAGTATAAGGAACCCCAATCCTTCAACTGGCGTCGGAATTTCATAAATATTATACATTCTGTAGAAGGTAACGCCAGGCAATAAACTAGATATGAAAAAGAAGACCTTGCCACTTTGTCAGAATGGATGAAATGTATCTGGCTCATGCCAACTTCATCTGTATCTGATCTTATGTTACAATCGCGAATTAAAAGATTTAGGGGCAATATCAGAACCATCTATTCTTTTGTATTTAATAATCCAGATATGAAAAAAGAATTAGATTCTATATAGATTACATGATCAGTTGGAACTGGTGCCTGCTGACAAAGAAGGTAACACCATTGTCTTTCTTTGTAGGAATCATTATGTAAACTGTATTTTAGAAGAATATGGAATTAATTCTACAAGTTGTAATCCAAATTATACTTATGCTTCACTTTCTAAGGAGGAAATTCTTCAAAATCATATGTCAGCTTTTAATATTTTTAATATCTCAAAGAACTAAATGACATTAAATCGCCATATTTATGTTGGATTCCGAGACTTAATAAAAACCCGTACCAAAAAATATAGATAGCGCGTTCCAGTAAATGTTCAACCAAGCCTCTTTCTTTATTTCTCACTAAGATATTAATAGTAGTGAAGGAGAAACTTTAACGGTACTGTACAACAATACGAGGGATGATCAAAAAGTTCGCGAACTATCTCTATATCTACAAAACCACAATTAAGATTAGAATGAAATTCGGTACACACATAGCCATATACAAGGTCAATAAATAGCATATGCTGAATAAAGTTTTTCTCCTTGTTTGTGACGTCACAATGTGAAAATGACGTTACTATGTAGGTCACTTGTGACGAAAAATGGTTGTCTCAGTCGAACATGTTCAACAAACGACTGTACAATTTTCTGTACATCTTAGAAATCCCTCTGCAGTATCATCTAATAATTTGTACACAGTCTATTGAGATAAATGAGTTTCTATAAATTCAATTAATGATTGGATTGATCGTTTTATTGAAGGAAGGCATATGGTTTAAAATTATACTTGCCATCTTGCCCAGTGAAAGCAAGTTTGAAAAGATATGTATTTTTAATTAGGCAATTTGCTATCAAAGACCTCCAATTAACACTTTGAAAAATAGTTGAATATTTGAACAATAATATAATTAATAATAACCTAAGGTATCGTTTATTTTAGATTTTAAACATATTAGATATGATAAAAGGAGGCACCCATTCTCTATCCACCTTGAATAAAGGTCTCTCGAGAGACAGAAAGATTTGTGTTTTAATGGTCGCCCTGAAAATTTCAATCACATACTTACAATGAATTAAACAGTCAACATTGATTTTAAATTTTAGAACTGATGTTAAGAAATGAATATCTTTTAATATGCAATGATCTTCTTTAAAAAGATAGATTAAAACGCATTTTCTAATTTAGGTAATTGAATATATAATGAAATAGGACACGAATTGAGCATTTGCCAGTGATTTTACAAAATGTTGTTTCAATGAAATATATGGAGAAAAATGAAGTTACATTCACTTTTGGCATATATCTGTACCTTGTCACTGGTCATTTCATTACACGCACAGTGTAGTATATTGTAATGTCAATGGTCATTTCAAAAATATTTTGTTAAAAAAAAACATTATAGGAAGAGAATAAGGTTGTTGAGGACGCTTGATACCAGAACCACTGACGGAAAAGGAAACAGAAGTGCCAAAGCCAGTGTTATCAGAACTCCAACGTCCAGAGCTAGACTTTAATATTCTTGATATATTTTTGCAGAAGAGTGAACCAGACCAGTTTGCTACAGAGTGAAGAGGAGAAGGTAAAGATCATGTAAGAAACTTTGAGCGTGTTAAAAAAACCTCCTTTAGTCGTCCAGAGAAAATCGACAGTTGCTGACTTTGTAAAATTCTGGGATAAGAAAAAATACAATGGTTATGAAAGATATCGAAAATGCAAGACACAAAAGCGGAGCGAAGAGAGGCGGCGAGAAGATTCCAACTCGTATAAAAGACCTACAGCTACGGCTAGAAGACCAACATTGAAATCAATGAGCATTTTTAAATCGCTAAAATTACATCTTTCTAAAAATAATATACCAGATTTTAAGGACAAATCGCTAAATTTGTGTCTCGCTAAAAATTTGTGTCTCGCTAAAATAACCACTTATACGGTATTTTCATCAAATTCGTTCTTTATTTTATTAATATCCAAGTTTTCAACAAAAACAAAGCACAAAGTTATACTTTAATCAGATACAAAAAAGACACATACTCCTACCCGAAGCACTAAAACGAAAATTCTTGACCTTCCCGGACGTCAAAAGCTTATCAATTAAAACCAAATACATGTAACTTTTCTCAACATGGTTAACCTTTAACTCTATTCATTTCTTATGTCGCTTTAAACAGTCATCAAAATGTGCACAAAATGCTCAGGTTTTACACGTTAAATAATATCTAATAATTACGAAGTCAAAGTCCGATGGTCACGCTAAAGTCCGATGGCTCGTTTCCTATGAGACACGCTGCGCTAAAGTGCAATGGTCTGACACGCCAAGACCATATAATATTCCATATATACGTATTTACTATTTTGTTTAATGAGAAAATTAAGATATATGTATTTTTCAAAATGTATTCCAAATTTTAATTTTTATTTCGTTTTAATACATAAAACATTTTTTCTTGCATTATCATTTTAGCAAATGACCCATTTGTTATAAATATATTTAACGATTTCTTGATAGTAAAAACATAACAAAGGCGGGTAATCAAATGTTGAACCCTCTCTTGACTGGTTAGTTTGGATCTTGAATTTTGAAATTCGAATTTAGAATCTCGAATTTCGAACCTCGTATTTCGAAACTTGAACCTCGAATGAGCCTTTTGGGCTTTCATTAATAATTCCTGTCTCACCCTGCAATCATCCAACCTCTGTCCGCGTAAAAAAATGACTTTATTTACGGAAATACGCAAACTCACGTTACTAAATTTATTTTGTACAGCACTGTAATCTCAGAATGATGGTCTTCCTTCAAGCATGTCATCCTTTGTGTGAAAATATTATACGTTACTTACATGTAAATACTAATAAATTGCTTCTTTTACTATGTTTCCCGATTTTTTATGGAATTTATGTGTCTCTGTATGTGTTTTTCCGATGTCCACGCAGAGTTTTGTCACTGTTCTATGCTCCACCTATTCTGAAAACGTCCATTTTTTTAACAATGCCGATCCTGTCTCAATATGTTGTTACCTTGATTGATCTGCTATTTTTAATCTTTGAACTTTCGCAGGTTTGATGTGAAAACTTCTGTCAACCTTATAATTTAAAAGTCATCCAGATTTCCGCAGACTTTTATAAAATATAAATACAATTTTTAAAGTGATGAATAACTTTTTAATTGATATTTTGTGGTAGTGCTCCGGGTCTCCATTTCAAATCTAATTATGAAACCATAATTGTAATTGAATATTAGTAAAGGATTAGAAATTTGCTTTTAAAAACTATCAATGACACAGCTTTTATTACCGTTTCATGGTTTAGTTCGACTTTCCACTCAGCGGACAGAGTTATGACACTGTTTACGGAATCAAATGAAAACAAAGACATGTATGCCATATATGGTTGTGAAGATAAATTATCGTAAAAGAAAATGTTAATAAAAAGTTTAATAGTGCACTTCATCTGAGAGTGTAAATGAGTGCGTTTCTGAGGAGGGGGCTACCGAATGCAATTCGGAGTTAGATACATTGTATTATACTATGGGTTAAGAATTTATCATCGAAACAAGTGCCTGTGGTAAAAGATACCGAAGAAGAGGTGTAAGAAATTTTGAAATTCACGATAGGACTATTTTCGGACCATAGCGAGCATCGGTGCTTCGTATTTCAGGTAGTTATGATATACTTAATACACTTCTCCAAAGGTTGCTCTAACATCACTGAAAATTTCATGCCTCTGTGTTAAGTTCTTCAGAAAACTGCCGGACAATTAAACTCTCTGAAAATCACTTAATCGCAGAAATCTCCAAACCGGAAGTGACGTCATCAAATGTATATATATATATATATATATATATATATAGATTTTATGATGTTCTATCAGACCTTAAAGTTTCATGAAAATCGATGGAGCCCTTTTCGAGAACTTATATGCACAAAAAGAAAACAATAATAGCTAGAGCAAAGCTCGTCGCAAAGCAACGAGTAGTCCATCCATCCTGTTTAACCGGAAATCACTTTAATTTTTTTTTTAATGAGTAATGTCATCCAAAAATGGTTTAAATCCTCCAAATCTATGTTAATTATTGCAAAAGTAATACTTTTTTTGCTACTTCTGGTTTGTCCAGAAGTGACGTCGACGGACGGAAAATTCAGTTTTATGCTTCCGACTCCAATAGATTTAGCTGAACATTTTGAAAAACTTTGCTTCTTTAAAGTATGACAAATTCTCAATATTTTTAAAGATATCAGGAAAAAACTTCTGACCCCTCTTGATCCTTTATTTAAGGAGATATAATAAAAGATATCATTTTAAAGGTCTTGTAATTCTACACTTCTTTTGTTCTATATCTTTAAACAAAATATTTCTAGGTAAGAAGACATCGTAGAAAAGGTGTTGGAAATTTTGAAATTCACGATAGGACTATTTTCGGATCATAGCGAGCATCGGCGTTTCGTATTTGCAGTGGTGGTGATATACAAAATTCACTTCTCCAAACTTTGCTCTAGCATCACTGAGAATTTAATGCTTCTGTGTTAAGTTCTTTTTGGGAAACCTGCCAGACAAAGTGACTCTCTGAAAATCACTTAAACGCAGAAATCTCAAAACGGGAAGTGATGTCATCAAAATAAAATATAACAATAATAAAAATATCAGTCCTGGAAGTTTCATGATAATCAAGCGAGGCGTTTCCGAGAACTCGCGTGCACCAAATCGGTAAGAAAAAAAAATAATTCAAATAGTGGAGAAGAAACTTAAGAATAACTAGATACGATCTCGTTGCGACCAACGAGTGGTTCCTCCGTCCGATTCTTGTAGAGATGAGATTAGATTTTGATTGAGATTTTCATTAAAAATAATAATATTATTAAGAAAAACGTTTTTGCTCCCGTAATGTTTTGAAAAAGCATTGAACATTTAATGCTCATTAATTCGAATTTTGGCTCCTCTTGGCCCCTTATATGAAGGGTTGGCTTTTTTTCTTCAAATCAATTGAAGACGTTTGGCCCCTCTCATCCCCTAATTTGCGTGCCCAGCCCCTTTTCTGGATTTTACCTTTAAGCTCTCAATATTTTTAACATTTTTTTTTCAACAACTTTTCAGAGAATCTTTTATTTTTTCGAGTAATTTGCAAAAAGAATATTTAGGGGTCAACTCTTCAACTACTTAATGGAGACGTTAGGCAAAAATTGAAAGGTTGCATATTCAGAACATTATTTTGAACATCTTTTGTTCAATATTACTTATTAAAATATTTCCCACTTTTGATAAATACAAAGCTTCAAAGATTTAGCATCCTGGCCCCTATCTAGGTAACATATGATATAAAAAAATATAATATATAGTTGAAAATGGTTAAGATTAACATTTTTGCTTCAGTAATGTTTAACAAAATATTGACTGTAAAAGAGTTATTGAATAAAAAAAATTGACCCCTCTTAGCCCCTGAAATGATGAGCCAACACTTTTTTTCTTGATACCATATTAAACTCTTGTCATTTTTCACGAATGAATGTTGTTCAGTATGTTTAAACAAAATAATTATAGTTTTAGAGATCTGATGCAAATTGTTTCAAAAAATCACTCTTGATTCATGTCCTAAATTTTGACCTCTACCGCGATTTCATACTAGGCACATCCGGAAATATCAGGACCCATGTGCAACATGGCAACATATCATCTATCGTCCCTGAACATTTCAGCTTTCTAGCTTGAGCCGTTTTTGAGTAACATGACAGAAACGGAGGTCCTCTTCTGCACAAATTTTGTAAGAAAAAAAGAATTAAAATTATAAGATTATAAGGGGGAAAAGAAACCGAAAAATAATAGAAGGGTCTTCCGCTGAAGACAAAAGACCCTAACAAGAAGGTCTTCCACTGAAGACGGAAGACCTTAATAAAAAAGAAAAAGAAACCGAAGTATATCAATTAGGTCTCCCGTTGAAGACGGAAGACCTTAATAAAAATAGTGGAAAAGAAACCTTAGAATGACAAGGTTTTTTGCTGAAGACTGAAGACCTTAATGACAGGTGAAAAGAAACCGAACGAAAACAATAAGGTCTGGGAAACAAAAGACCTTAATAATAATAATAATACATACATATATTCAAACATACTAATGTTAGAATGACCTTTTTTTAAAATTCGATTAATTTGATAATTTAATTGTTTTGTCAAGCAGTATATAATTCTTTTCTGTGGCATTCTCATTTTTAATAAATTAGTATTTCTTTAATTTTTCCACTTACAATTATACAATGCAAACAGTAATTAACAAAAGTATTAACTTGGGCGGTCATGTGATTGATTTAAAGGTGCTTCGACACAAATTTGAAGTTAATAATTTCTCAATTTTTGTATAATTTCCGTTGTCTTTAAGAAAACTTAGTGTGCGTATGCAATTTATTCAGCAGCGCAGTCAAATTTGCATGCACGTGGTAGGAAATACCATAACCTGTGGACTAAAAATGTGGTCACAGCTATTAAAATATGTTAAGTGTCATCAAAACAATTCATGGGATGTTTTTCCGTTTTGCATACATTTAATAATTAGGTATAGAACAACAGGAGTTAAATGTGTTTGATAACAATTATAGTCTGATTTCTGGTTAGGATTTACCTGTATTATACCTATGTATATGAATTCTATAAAGGAATTGAGAATAAAATTTAATATTTAATGTATATTGATATAAATTGGAAAAGAGAAATTTATTAGATAATTAATTCAATATTAATTAATGTATTAAATTCAGAATAATAACTGCCATTTCTTGAAAAATAAATAATTTTAAATCTGATAATTTATGCATTTACTCTGATTACTATTCATGATTTATAATTTAGTGTAAATTTCTATTTTGACATTAAAGAAATACAGTTGTAATTCAAAACAGTGCACATAATTTTTGGTTTAAAGTCTTTTTTATATTTCTCCGACGATAGGTTCACTTTTACCCTATTAACCAACTATTGTAGAGACCAATACTGTACCAATTAGGTAATTTTCTCACCTGGAAAAATTCCCGTTCTGCACACATTTTCTCTATGTCTGAAATTCAAATGTGTGCAAAACGGGAATATGAAAGCTTAATCAATTGCCATTCTATTGATACCTTATATGCCATGTTGGTACAAAAGTTTGCAATACATACTATCCGTTTAATTTTGCACTTCAAGAGTTGATCTTTCTCCGTTTCATCTTTATTTTTTGTTTTGCGATTGTAAATGTGATGGCCTGCTTCTATAAGTGCATACAACACTATAACAATTCCTATGGCAATTATTTTTGCTGTCAGGATTTTGATGTCTTCGCCATGACCCAGAGAAAATATTGTTATGATGTTCAAAATTTTGTTGACGTCAGTGTCCAATACTGGTATAAGAAAAACGGTTCCAATTGTAATCCGCACAGCTCCTAAAAGAAACTGAATAAACAGAATAAAGATATGAAATACATCATCGTTTCGGTCCACTAAAAGAAAATTGAATTTTGCCGTTAAAAAAAACGTCTTGATGCTATAGGAAAAGAGCATAAGCGAATAAGCATACGGAATATACCTTGCAGGAATTGAAAACATTCTAAACAAATATGTAATAAACTTAGGTAATTGAATTATTTAATAAATGTTGTTTGAAATTGTTCAAAAACTATATATAACATGCTATATCATGAAGGATAATGATATTTTTACATTTACCTTTACAATTAAGAGATGCCATTTACAAATGTTAATGGTCACACTTGCACTTAATTATACTCCTTGAGTATTTTGTTATCAAAATGTTTAGCCTGTTTGATAGTAGTATCGAAAATGGTCTTACTAATGTTAAAATGACCTTTTATAAATTCGATTAATTTGATAATTTAATCGTTTCGTTAAGCAATATATAATTCTTCTCTGTTGTATTCTTATTTTTAATTTTTTATTAGTATTTCTTACATTTTTGCACTTGACCTGATACCGTGCAAACAGTAATTAACAAAAGTATTAATTTGGGCGGTCATATAATTGATTTAAAGGTGCTTCGACACAGATTTAAAGTTAATATTTTCTCAATTTCTATATAATTTCATGACTTGTATGTTGCCATATCAATTCATACAAAAACATAATAAAAATCTCATTTCATCTGGAAGTTATTGGAAGTCCGAATGTCTGTACGCCTTTGATTAACGCATCATTGCGCTTTCACAAATGTAACTTTATCCTTATAATTTTAGGAAAGTAGCTATTTTGTTGTGAATCAATGAAAAAAAATATTACAATTACTAATATTATCCCGAAATTTCAGGGTAAAAATATACAAATACATGCACAAATATTTTATTCGCACAAACACAGTTACAGTAATTGGCAAAGACCCATTCATAATACATACTGAAAGAAAAAAAACTTTTGAAGTAAATTAGATTCATTTTTTTTTATTTTGTTCAGTTTTCCTATCTAATTTTTAAAGTCATCTTTTAAGAAAATGTGATTAAAATTACATTTGATTTTGTCGTATAATTCACGTGTTATTGAAAATCATATGACTATACCCTCAAAAGTGCAAATAGAAAACTCTCATTATCTTCAATGTCTCCCCTGCGTATCTGTCACGGCTTTGATTTTCCTTTGCATGGAATTAATCGGACTGTTTATTTTTCAAACAATGGCTATATTTGGCATGGGTAACCATGCCAAACAACTAGTCAAACGTCGCGCATCCGCCAGTGAGAGGAACAAAACGTAAAGTTGATCGTCTCGAAAACCCAAATTGCGCAATTGTTTTTTTTTTGGTTGAATGTAATGATAATGATAGTCTACTATATAAACAGTGGATTTTGTGGTAGTAATGTGGCGATTTAGTAGGTGGCAGGATGAATACCCCGATCATAATGATAATGTGACTCTGTTTCGCGTTAATGTCATCGTCACGGTTGATAAAAAACTATTCCGGGCCCTCTCTGACAATGAGTAACACGTTCTATGGAGAAATGCACAGAAATCTGCTCTGTAAGCTGTTGCTGCCTTAGTCTTTATTTAGGCAATTCGAAAAGCAGAGCCCATAGAATATCAACGTTTTTAAATTTCTAACTTATGTGAAAGTAACCCTTTTTTGCTAAAAATTATCTACAGTGTATTATGCAGCTAGTTTGTCAAAATAGTGTGCACGTTTATTATTTAGACAAAAATTCCGATAAATTGATAGTTTTGAGGAGTTCATAATACTTGCATTTTGTTCGTGTAATATTTAATCATGAATACGTTGCTTAACAATGCAAAGCACTGGTTTCAATGTCATGTTCAAATATGCTTAATATGAAAACCCTTAATTATTAAGGAAGATCTAAACACTTAACACTAAAGAAATCTATAATTTATAAGATAGGTTTATACAGTTAGAGTGATATGCCCTTAGAAGTAAGATAGACAAATTGGTTATTTACAGTTAATTACATAATGTGTAATAGTTCAAAATATTCGAAGCAATATATCATGCCCAGATTATTTAAATAAATTCTTTTTTCCATTTATTTTCCCTATGTAAGTTAACAACAGTGATTTCTGCCCACGGATACTCCATTGTCTTTGAACACGTTTCCTGCAGAAATAAGGCAGGTACCCTATGTTGATAAATCAACTAAGTAGTCCCAAAATGCATACTTTTATATGAGATATTTTATCTCAAAGTCCAAAAAGCACTTTTATTAGTGTTTGGAGATTCCGTAGAATAAAAATCCTCTCATCAGTATCAGTACATGTTTAACAGCTCAAACAAAGGGTTTTTGTTGCTTCAAAATCGAGTAGTACATCGCAAACTCAAGCTTCATTGTTGGCTGACTCTGCCATTGTGTGCTTAATTATTAAGCAAATCATTACCGATAGTACCTTACAATCATGGACAAAGGTGAAGGTCATCAAACAATGAATGTTGGACTTAATGTGCTACGCAGGTAAAAAAAAAACTACAAAATTGCGCAAAATATTAAGCGAAGAATGATTATTTTCTCTTCACCTGTCTTTCTGAAATGTTCAACTTTAGCAAAATTTTAAACATGGAAAAATGAAATTAAATCAAAAGTAATAGAGAAATTAAAAAAAAGGTTTAGTAATTGATTGGCGAGGTCTCATTATAAAAACACTCTAATGGGACGAAAAATAATAGTGTTGGTGGTTTATTAATCTTATAATTATATAAAGGCCAGGTCCCCAGCTAGCTGTGTTTTTTCTAGTATGCTTAAGCCAACTGTTAAATTGGTTTGAATACCATTTTCCTATATACTCACGCGTAGAAATATGCACGGAGACCCGTGCTTTATTCTGACGTCATATTGGGGCTTCAGCAACAAGTAAAAATGCAACGATATAGGGCAGCAAGAAATTCAAATATTGAGTATATTTTTTATGCTTTGACACATTTTACATGTGTAAATGTAAACGTAAGGAATCTTTTTATGTATAGTGTGACTTATTGGTGTTTGAATCACAAACACTTGCAAGTAGCATTATTTTTCATGAAGCACTAGCCCCCTCCCCCTCCTCCTCCCCACCCGGCGTTTATGTTTGCTTAGCCCACTCCCTTTAAAATTGCTTCCGACAACTATATATTCTACTTCTACTTTAAAGTAGGTTTTCTATCGTCAACTTCCCATACTTATGCAGCAATTTTCCTTCATCACCTGCATACGGAGTTTATGTATCTCAGTTGATTTTATATGTAGATCATGAACAATTTCTAAAACGAGGTAAATTTTTTGACAAACAAATTGTAAAACAAGAATATTAGCAGTCTCGTTTAAAGTTATCATTTGGTAAGTTCTGGTCGATACATTGGCTTGTTTATCATTAAGTCAAATTTTTAGTACTAATTATTAATTTATTTCTACACTAAATTGACGACGGATTTTCCCGGTATTTCCCGATTATGACAATGAGAATACTGCGGGTGTGACCGGTCAGTAGGGGTTGCTCACTTTTCCTTGGCACCTGATTCCATTTTTTTTTAGGTCTGTGTTTGCTGTTCTACTGTTTTGTATGTTTTTATGAACTTTTGATCTTGAATGTTGTTTGTTATCTGCATATTTTTCATCAATGCCATTTTCATTTACAAACTTCCGTCGTTGAGAATTAAGAAAAAAATGTCCAGATTACAATTTGTAACTTTTGTGTTTTATTTTCCGAATTTCTCTACGTGTACGACGTGCTCAGTAGTCAGATACATAGCTGGCTGTGACTGTTGACACTATTGTTTACACCGTTACTTTAGGTGTTGACTGCACGCGCACTGACCCTTCGGTGAATTCAGCGTCAAATCCGGTACTACATGGTGAATATGTAGTGATATGAACTTTTTGCGCTTGTATAGATTATTTAAGGACAATTGATAAACTACAGTGTATATAATAGTATTCTCTTAGTATCAATAATAGTATAATAGTAATAATAATAGTATTCTCTTCTTATTCACGAAAAGAACCGTAATTATTATTCATCTTGAAAAATTGTCTGCGTGCCTTCTACCAACCGACTGTTGTAAATCAGCCCGACTCAAAACTGTTTTCCTTCTGGAAACAATTATCTTTTAAAATTCATTTTTAACTTCATTAGCGTCAATTTTTCTTGTTTTTTTTTTTTAAATAATTGTTGGTCCTACCTACCCATCTTATTTCATCCTGAGTCTGGAGAGGGGAAGCAAAAACAAATTTTAAAGATAGGCTAGTATTAATAGTATGTTTAAAAAAGCAAAAATCTAATGGATTAAATGTATTTCATACTACGACCGTTTAGAAACCTTTTATACATTACGAAAAAATAGAATTTTATATAAATATAATGTATATAACATACAAACCAGTATTAAATAAATGGCCCAAATATATTTAGATCTTGTATTATGTTTCTCTGCCATCATCAAAAATGTCTACAAAAAAATCAAAAGAACAAAATCAAAAATGAATTAAAAAGTGACGTTGTCGTATTTGTACAATACAAATCAAACTTTTGTGACACTGACAACAATAATTAAACTCGTGTTTCTTCCATAGTTAATTCAATGCTAAATCGTTTTGTCAAAACATTGTTTGACCTTGTTATCAAATATAATTTATCATTTAGTAAAATGATCTCTGACCTTTTTCATACTATTTGTCAGGCGATTAATTACACACTGAATTGACGACGAATTTTTCTGTTATTTTGAGATCATGACGAGGAGCACAAGGCGGGCGTGTCTGATCGGCAGGGATGCTCACTCCTTCATAACACTTAAAGCCATCTCTGATGTTATGAAGGCCAGTGTTTGCTCTGTTCCTGTTTTGTATTGTTTTGTGGACTTTTGAGCTTCAATACTGTTCGTTATCTCCATTAGTTTCCATTCAGAAATTATTGATATTGGTTAATTGCTCTGTGCAACCGAAATATCCTATTTCTAGTGAAGAGGATCTTGGAAAAAACTCTAGCTAAGAAATATATATTAACTTTTGGTACTTATCTATCGGCGACTTTTTACAAGTTGCATAATTAATTATATAAGTGCACAAAAGCAGCATTTTTATATCATTGCATTTCTTTTCATCTGATCTAAGTGAAAAATCAAATGAAAAATACAATGTAACAGGAATAATGTTTATTATTTTGCAGATATACATATATATTTGCATATCCACTGCTTTCTCCCACTGTGAACATGCAGTCATCAATTGCGTTCATAGGACTATAGACGCAATTGCTTCTGCTATGAATTCAATTGCTATTCACACTCGTGTAGCACAAGCTCTAATAGATTTACATGTTGTGTTGAGAAGTATATATATGAAATGTTTTGCAAAAGGAATAAATACAAGTTTTTAATAATATTCTTTGGAAAAAAAAGAAATTAAGAATAATTTAAAACTGCTGATTTACATCTTTAAAAATTTTATTTTTGTCAATGTTATTAATTGTATAATAAAACTTTTTAAAAATTGAAGAGAACTGCCATATTTTTATTTTTTCTCTAATAGTATATCCTATTTCAAGAAGGATTTCGGGTCTAAAAATAAATATAACAAATTCAAAAAATCATATAAAGCATTCTGGAGTTATAATCTTTATTTAAGCTTTGTCTTTTTCATCATAGTGTTAAATTATTAATTTTTATCATAGGGTTTCAAAAACGTTGATCGATGACGTCACAACTGCATCAAAACAAAAATTAAGAGAATGTGACGACGGTGCAGCTTGTTTTCAGATAACTGTGTTTAAAAGGCAAATACTTTATATAATTTTTTTGTGATTTATTAGAGAAAAGGTACAATGATCAGGTATACTGATTTTTTATAGCTGTGAGTTTTTATTTACTGAAGACAACAAGCAGCAACTTTATGTAAGCCAGGATTTCCTCTGATATTCTTGACAACATCAAAGAATGCAAATATAAGTAATAAACAACGATTATTCAGTGAACATGGCATTAAAAATAGCAATAGCTCTGCTGGCATATTTTCCATGATGCTCTAGCGCGCATCATGGATTATGCCAGCAGAGCAATTGCTATTCATAACGCCATGTTCACTGAATAACGTTGTTTATTTCTTAAATAAATTTAGGTCAAGATATAAATCTAATTATTCATTTCCCAGACAGAAATCTGAAAGATTTGGAAATCTGTAATTTTTTTAATTGTGTAATTTTGAAAGTTTTAAATAATATTGTAAGAAATCACTTAATTAAGAACATTCTATAATATCAAACGGCAGTCTTTCGCATGATATATTCTTGATTCAGAACAAAACATACCTAAGCTTTTCAAAAATTAAATGTCTTTGACGCCCTGTTGACGGTTAGATTTGCTTGCTTTCGTTGAAATCCTCAATCCAACACCTTATAGAAAGTTTCTCTCTAGTAAATAAATATTAATTTATAAACTTGTTGCATTCCATTCAATCCATTTCTTCAAGAGAATAGAAATTGTTAAGTTAAAAAAACTGATCAAATCAAAGAAAAATCTACTCGATGTTATTTGAACATGCAGGCTAAATCTTTTGTTTTTATTCACAAAAGTATCTAAGCAGCACCTCTTACGTAATAGGGACATGCGTCTTCCAGTACGTTGGACAATATGCGATTTTTGTATGTCAATTTTAAAGAGACTCGGTCTATAGATTTGACTGATTTTTTATGAACAATTTCTTTTTGCAAACAAATTGTGGACGATTATTTAAATGAACTATCGAGATATTTAACCGATTTAGATCGGTGATAAAGTGTTAAATATCATTGCCGTAAAAGGATGTCATTGATCTTAAGAAGCCTCGTGTTCTTTGTTATAAATTATAGCTAGCAGCATATTTGATGTTCACTTTTAAAGTCAATATAAATGAAATAAAACATGCGCGGTTATATGTTATATATTTTCAAAAAAATAAAAGGTTCATGATCTTTCTATTTCCCTGGAAAACGGATTTTTTGCAACAGATCTATACAGCTAACCAGCAGACAAATATATGTACGTTAACAAAACCTCCAGCTATCCCGAATCTACAAAAAGTTCTATTCCGAACAACTTTGGTCTTAGTGCACGTCCTATTTTTTTCAAATTATCAAAATCAACGTGATAAAGTGAAAAAACCTCTGAAAGTGGACAAACTCAATCACTTGGATATGCTGAATTATAGACAAAATAAAAAAGCAATGTGATCATTTCCTCTTGTATTGACTTATTCAAAAGGACTTCCTAATATAGATAACATTTTAAAGCAAACTTTAAAAAAAACTATTGAAAATTCTGATCGCCTTAAGTTTGAGTAAGAAAAGACCTCAATCGTAGCTTATAGGAGAGACAAAAATTTGAAAGACAATTTCGTTTACCTTTCCAAAAATAGACGGAGACATTTATACTGCATGAATTTGTAATGTAAACATTGGCAATTTTTTTTTTAATATATTTTTTTGTATTCAGATTCTACACTACGAATTTAAATGGAGAAGAGAGAAATTGTGTAATTTTATGGTGCACCAATAATGAAACAAAATAGCAAACAGTACTCCAGATCAAAAAGATCAAGATCAGATGCCATGGAGTAATGAGCATCCCCTGCCGACGGGTTACAACCACCGTGGGTTCTTTTTCATGATCGGGAATTAACAAAAAAAATCAGTGTATAGATCATGAAATAACAATTAGCATGAAAAATGTCTGTCGGCATTTGTGTGAATGATGAATTGTATTTATCTTATTGTCATTGTATCGACTTTGAATTAAACAAGACTGCTGATATCCCTGTTTCATAACTTGATTGTCAACATTTTACCTCGTTTTATGAATAGTTCATACGTAGAGCATGCTCTTGAGTATCTCGTCAACTGGGAAATATAAACTTCCGTATGCAGGTGATAAAGATATACTGCTGCAATAAGTAAGGGAAGTTGATGATTGGTTGTTAGATTACCATTAGTATGTTTTTCCTGTAAAATATCAAATATAAAACAGATGTGTCAGCTTAGGTTGAATCTTTTATTTCCAGGTCACCAGGATATATTGTTTCGACATAAGAATGAAAATTATGATTGTTTATTGACAATACGTCGTCGATATATCTAAATTTCCAGTTGAAGGCCACAGCTAGTGTTTTCATCTTTTCAGGCATACGATTTTGCACAAATCCTGCTTCATATGAATACAAAAATAGCTATAGGTTTGTTAATAACGGGGCGCATTTGGTACCCATGGAAATTCCAATAGATTGTTGTAAGACCTGGTCTCCAAAAACAACACAAATATTGTCAATCAGAAACCCATGCATCTTTTTTATGTCGACTTCGGAGTACTTATGTTACAATCAAAATGTTTTTAACAAAATTATTTCGCACATGGCCAGTGACAAGGTTAGTAAATTTACGAATTCCATTTTTTTTTTTTTTGAAAAAGTAGCTTTCAATGATATCAAATAGGCTGGACTTTAATTTGGTTGTGTAAAAAGTTGAAAAGTCTTAATTTTTCATCTGTAGATTTTGGTAAAATCTTGTGAATTCACATTGTCCAAAAGTTCTTTGGAGTTTTTAAGTATCCACATCTGATTTATATCACTTCTTGAATATATTGTTGTAGAGTACTCTTAAGTTTCTCCTTCATTGCTTTTAATATCTTAGTGAGAAGTTAAGAAAGCGGCTTGGTTGAATATATACTGGAACCCGCTATGTATCTTTAGAAGGATTTTTATGAACTTTCAAAAGTCAATATAAGTATTTTAGATCAAAATCATTTTGGTTCTTCGGGATATTAAAAATATTCAAAACTTACATACGATTTTGAAGAATGTCTTTTTAGAAAGGGAACTATGAGTCGACGTTGCATTACCATATGACATCGGGTTCCTACAAAACAACATCTGTCTGCGGAATTTGGAGACAACCCTCGTAGTTAAATGCTTTCCTATTCGTTTAAGAAAATTTAATTATTTAGCTACCTTTCTTCATATATCTATAATTTGATTATCACAAACAGCCTGGAGCCAATAGTGATGCCTAGGAGCTTAATCTTAGCATCACAGAGAAATTTGTTTCAATCTAAATGACACACAACATGCACCATGTTATTTACGATTATAAGCTCAAAAAAGTTACAAATTCAAAAATATTTTGAAGGATGGAGAGGGAGAGACATCAATAGTAAGAATGTAAGCAATGTCTTAGGGTGTTATTGTACCCATCGTCACGTTTCTAGAGGGGTGTCTGATACATTCCGTCATGGTTCATTGAGTTCAGTAGGAATTATGTAAAATGCTTATGAAGCGAAGATAGAAAGCAACAGTATTAAAACATATCACTAGCTAGGTACTTTGTAAAAAAAATTGATGTAATTCCACTCTGTGGTTTACGTAGGATCTGACACATGAACAAGAAACTCTACAATTTTGAAACCACCAACACCCATACCAAATTAAAAAAAAAATATAAACAGTGAACCATGATAGAATAAATCAAATAAAGAATAACTATCAGCACAACAGATCTAACTTCTTAAGGCTTAAAATATTAAAAATTAATTTGTGATTTCAGACTATCTGTATTTCACATATATTAAAATATCTTGTATCATAATATCATGCCCATCTATTATAATATAACTGTGATTTATTAAAAAATTATGCTGAGTTGTCAGAATAATAAAATCAATACTCTTGAATATCAAGTTGCAAAACTTCAAAGAAGTACAATTAATATTCAACAAGTAAACATAAACGTAGAGGCACAAATATACCACCATAACATTAAGTATCACCCTGTCAAAAGACTTGTTCTCAAGGTCTGGTAACACGCTTTGAAATAAGCAATATCTGCGATAGAGTGCACACATACGAAACAATGGTGTTGAATGACAGCCTGGTAACACTACAACGTCGCTTAAATCTTGGCATTAATGGATAAAATTTCAAAGATTAAAATCAAAGTTTGAAAGAATGAATTAAAACAAAACGATCTTAATATACGTACAATGTATGAATCGCTGGGGTTTTTTTTTTTGGAATTTTTTAATTTAAAAAAATTCATGACCATGATTTTTTGACAAGGATAATACATTTTGTTTACACAATTAATAATTGTTCTTGATTAGTTTTGATCTCTGTAAAATATAATGTTATGTTTTATTATATAATAATAGCAGTCAAAGAGAAAATAACTATACCTGGCCTTCTAGTTAATTCCCTGACCATTGTAGCATAACACATATCTAAGAGTCCTCAATTTCTACACGATCTGTAAACCCAAATCATTGTCTTGGAATTGAAAAAGAGGCTTCAATCAATAGGACTTTCCATTTATTATTGCACAACTGCTCCAATAAAGCATGAAATATTTTAAAGCCATCATTTAAACTTAAGGTGAATCTCTTCTCAAATGTTTAAAATTAAGACAATAAGTTGGATTGATTGATTTACACGTTCCAAAAGGAGCAATTTTATATGCAGTTCTTTAAACAGAAGTTTCAAAGGCTGACTGCACTAAATGCTGTGTTTTTTGGGTCTTTTTCGGTACCCTCTGTTGCCTTTAAATCTTGGTTTAAATTCAATTTTATAATAAATTACATGAATATTTACTACAGTGGTCTATCATTCACACATCCAATTTATTTGCTAAAAAAATTTAGACCGTAATACAGTAACTAATTTCATGTTTTTGGTCTTACAGTTTTCCAAATACAGATCTTTACAGTAACTTGTCCTTGATTAAACATTATGTATGTATTTGCGGAGCTAACAAATCACATAGAATGAATCTAAAATTAGACTGTATGAATAACAATGACGTGTATTTAAAAATACGAGATATCTATTTTCCATCTGTATGGCACGATTTTATTATTTACAAAGATTTAAAACGAATGAGACCATCCATGTAAGTAAAGAATATTTTAAATCAATAACTGACTATTTAACGTTTTCGAGCACCGTGTCCTAGTTAGCTGAAACATGCTACCTATGTCAGGAGACGAAATTTTGTATTTAAAAAATTACGTGAGGAAAGAAATCATGCGGTGGTGAATAATAATATTCAATATGTTCAGCAGCCTTTGGTTACATCCGAGAGAGCGAGTGTAAGAAGCAGTTTTTTCTTTTAAACAAAGAGAGCATGTGACCTTGTTCGATAACCAAGAGCATGCTCTACGTATGTACAATTTCTAAAACGAGGTAAAGTATTGCCAAGCAAGTTGATGAAACAAAACTATCATCAGTCTCGTTTAAAGTTATCATTTCGTAAGTTCTATTGTCGATACAATGCCCTTGTCAGCAAATACAATTTTTCATCGAGTCAAATGCTGACGGAAGTTTTTCATACTAATTCTTAGTCCATTACTTATACACTTAATTGACGACGGATTTTCCGTTATTTCCCGATCATGACAAGGAGCACACGGCGGGTGTGAGACGGATCAGCAGGGGATGCTCACTCCTCCATGGCACCTGATCCCATCTCTGATGTTTTGGAGGTCCATGTTTACTCTGCTCCTATTTTGTATTGTTTTATGGACTTTGAGATTGAATACTGTTCGTTATCTCGATATCCTTCATTTACTTGGTAGATCCGACACTTAGGATATATAGTAACTTTTTTCATACTTATTGTTAGTTCATCGTATATACAGAATAGACGACGGATTTATGCGTTATTTCCCAATCATGACAAGGAGCACGCTGTGGATGTTACCGGTCTGCAGGAGATGCTCTTTCCTCCATGGCATCTGATCACATCTCTCATGTTTTGGAGGTCCATGTTAGATCGGCTATTGTTTTATGGACTTTTGATCTTACGTTTCATTCATAAAAATCATATCAAACAAACATACATTGCAGGTTCCAGTTACTATTCCTCCAAACTTCTTTCCTCCACCGAAACATGGCTGAAAAATGTCCGACTCGGCGTTAAACAATATGCAATCATTCCATCCAAGCTTTTTTCCTTTATCTTCATAAAAAATATTTAGAGCAGTTACGGAGAAACATTGGGAGTACTGTGAAACAATATATTCTGCAAATCAGATGTGGATATTTACTAATTCTAAGAAATTTTTGGAATCCATAAAATAAGAAAATTATACCAAAATCAATAATTAAGAAACGTGCGATTTTTCAACTTTATATATAACTTTAACCATTCGCAGTGATAATCTTTTGTCTAGGTTTTGTTTCGGAAGCGTAAAGGGCCCCACACCAACTAGTATTTTGTTATATTATACTTTCATGTAAATTAGTTGAATCTGATTGGTTGAGAAACATTTGCTAAAAAGCACTATTACCCGCTGAATAATGAAGCCACGCCCTTCAGCGTAGCAACAGTCAACATTGCTTGACGACGGGTGGTATTCCGAAAAAAAGCGACTGCGCAGAATTTATGCGCGCACGGTTCACTGTTATATGTATTTGTATAAACATTCAGTATAACATAATAAATATTGCATTTAGTTGAGTGTAACATTGAAAATTTTCATCCCTCGAAAACCAATGTCAACCTCGGCTGCCCCTCCGTTGACAATGGTTTTCTTGGGGTGAAAATTTTCAATGTTACACTCAACTGCATGCAATATTTATCTAATAACTTTGTATATATAGAGAATAATACATGGCAAAATCTGTATCACACTCCATATGAACCCAATACTCCAATATCAGTTCGAGGTCTGGCGTAATCTTTAACAGAATCCATCATATTTATAAAATTATGACGTCAGTTAAAAATTGGGATTCTTCAAACAATTTTGCAAACGAACAATTTGTACAACATAAATTGTTATTTTGCAGAAGTATAACTCTAATTTCTTCATATAAGAGCTAAGAACATTTCACCTTATTCAACACAGATAAATTCATTTTCACGTACACATTTCTGTATTCTAAAAGCAAAAGTATCGAAACACAAAAGGAGATTTTATTATTCAACAAAATGTCAATTCTGATTAAATCAATATAACAATAATCACTGCAAATATCAGTTAATCAACAAATTATTGTATGGCGTTTTAGCTGCGCATGCAAATTGAATATAATATTCCTTGAGTTTCATATTCCACACTCTCCTTCTGTCATGTTTTTCCTTTTATTTCCCCTTCTGTGTCCTCTACTCCGTTTCCTTTTACTTGTTTATTATTCATTACCAATAAGGCCAACACCAAACAAAGGGAGAATATCAGTGATACAGCCTAAAACAATAAAAGTAATTATTTATTAGACTCAGATTAATTTGATAAAATTTTCTTAATACCACAAGACATTTAACATCAAAATCATGACATGACGTTTTGTAGCGTTTTGTTGAATTTTTATAGTTACATGTACGAGGCTATACGTTGGCTATGTTCCTCATTGTAATATTATGATTACAAGATCAACAATTTTTTTAAAAGTAAGAGCATTTAATTTTTCGGCGAGTGAAATTTCTTTCCGTTTCATTGAATAGAACTCATATTAGCCTATTTTAAAGGAATATGGTTTGTTACCACGAAGCATGGCTAACCAACACTGTGACGTTAAAAACAACGTCGAGAAAGTTTCTCAAAAAATTCCTGCTTTTTAATTTCATGCACGGTTTGTAGCGTCTTCTACATTTATAAAAACGGATCCATAATTTTGAATGACCCTCGTATAACAACGAGCATTCATGTAAGTACATGTATTAAGCATTCTTAATATAACCATAAAAAGCATGTGAACAGTACATTTTGCTAAATAAATTGTAGGCTATTAAACAAATCATACTGAATTAAGTACTGAATTAAGTACAGACAATTTGTTGTATTTGAATTATTCTAAAAGCCTATTTGATCAATCAACAGGGTTTATTTACTCCTACTAGGCACCTGATCCCAGCTATTAAAGGTTCCTTGTTTATGCTCTGTAACATCGCGGGTTTCGAAATCCAGTGTAGGACGTGGAGACCATTAATAGGGATGAGACTGTAAAAACCAAGTGCTTGAGTGCCGAGTATAGAAATAAATGTGCAGTTTCTACTCCGAAGTGGTTGACTCCCCATTTGAGTAGAATATTCTCGAGCCGGACATTAAAAAACAAATAAATAAAAACAAAGCATTACATAATTCAGAACTAATATTAGTTTTAAAAGAATTTCAGTGAATACGCTTGGAAGCTCAATCGTCGTAAATATTAATAAAGTAGAATATTTACACATGCATGCATGTTCTTTTTTTTCATTTTTAATTATTCAATCTGGTACCTATATACATGTAATAGTATATGGGCCCCTGATTCCATACTGTAGAGGTAGAGGTATAACATACTAAATGCATTTTCTTATGCTTAAAAACTAAAGAATTTACACATTATGACAATCGTTGTTAACGAGATTTCTAAACATGTAATAGATTTATCGCTTAAATATTTCTGTTGTGCCTAAGTTTTAAACTTTATGTTCTTTTTTGGCTTATCAGATTTCAGCACAAGTGCCTCTATGAATATAATATGTTTAATGTTCCTTTATTCGTGTTTTGTGAAAAAAATTCCTAAATCATATGTGCTGCATTTATTAACATACACAAGCTGTTAAAAATTTATTAACTTGAACTTACATGTGACACGGCAGCTACAATTCCACAGAGAAACACCAGTTTTTTCTCGTCTGTATAGTCTTTAACTGCATCTAGCCATAAAGCAGAACAGCCCTTTAATAAGAAAAAAAGATATATTTTCCCCAAAACTCTTTTTAAAAAGTAGGCATGCAAACTTCTGTTATTGCTGGTTTTTGAAGTTTTTCATTGACTTATTGACAGTGGGAGAATGTTATACATACTTCCTATTTCTGCAACAATATACTGCTATTATCTTTCACGTCCATATCGCGATTATGTTTACAATTTAGTTTCTACATTTTGACGGAACCATCATAAGTCCCCATTCAATAATTTTTTTTTATTTGTAAGTATAAAGTAAATACCTTTTCGTTGTAATAACCGCTGTAGACAAATTCATGGCATTCAGCGGGAGCCAATGTATAGCTTGATTTATCTATACCCTTACAACAAGATCTCGGTAGCTGTGAGTTGGTCTGCTGACAAGATCCGGAAATCGTACACCAAGGGGTCAAATCAAAGTCATTTGTTGTAGATTTCACTCCATGTACAGCACAGCATCGGAACTTCAATACCAAAATATCATATCAAACAGGGAAATGTGAGAGATAGTTAGATCTCTTGCAAACTAGCTAGATTGATATTTATATCTAGATGAGTAAAAATCTTAAAATGATTGATTAAAGAAAGAGAAAGAAATATTTCCTCACATCAATAAATATTTCGTTCCAAATGTCTGACTATGTATTTCCAGGCGATGGAAAGGAATCATTAGTGAAGCCATCGTGGAGACGTTTGAGCAATGTCGTTTTGTCCAGCTTAAAGATAAATAGTATTGCATTGCTCACTGGTTCTCATTGTATTAACTGTGAAGGCTTTTTGCAAAGAGTTATACCAATCTTACTCATTGGATGATATGTATTAGTTCTTCATTGCATTGATTAATCTTTTATTATTTATAAGAGAGGAAGATCTAATTTCGATTGATATTTTATTCATTTACAAAAACAAACTGTACAGAATTTTACCCATCTCTTATCCACAACTCCTCTTATACCACTGATTGAAATTTAATGAAACTTTTATAGAATTTTTATTACATATTGTTATTGTGCACCTCCTATTTTACTTTTTGATCCGACACATATTTTGGGTTTCCCATTACAAATCATGGACACTGCCATTATATTTACATGGGAGGCTGGGGTATCATTTAGTGAGCTCATTGCTCACACTAACTCTAGTTTATATATAAATATATGTGTAAATGATTACACATCTCTTTTGATAGATAAGACGCCGAGGTGATAAGACGTGCTTAAATTTGGCTCCTGATTTTACCTGAGCTACCTGTGCAATTACTCTGATTGGATTACAAAATAAGTACTGTTTTCAATAATCACTATGTAGTAAATCAAATGATGGATGTGAGTTCAAGTTCCAGTCTTTTTAGATCATTTCTGGATTCTTTTACTGGATTCACAAATCCAATAAATGACAATCATGATGACGTGCATATTAATGTGGACATACCAAGCTTTCTAAAAGTCACCACCAATAAGAGGAGCTTTACTGTGAACTTTGACCAAGAAAAATATGAAATTATTTTTTCATATTTGCAACAGGAATTGTTATGTGAGAAAACTACTAAGGGAGATGGTCATATTTTTAAGACTAGTTGTAGATCTGTTACAGCTACAATTTACAAAAGTACCTCGATACTCCATATTCAGGGGAGTACAGCATCATCATGGTGCGAGAAATTCATTGAGGAAATAAGTGTTTACGCATGTGACATAAATGAAACAAATATCATTATTTCCCAACAGCCGCCACAAATGGCATCTACGCCAAGGAGGAACCTATCGAATTATGCTCCGTGTAATGAAACTAAAGAATGCAGCAGGTGCTGTAATTCTGCCTTACGCGTGGAGGAACTTTCATCAATTGTTAAACGCTTAACGCAGGAAATCGAGTCGTTAAAAAAGGAACTGAGTGAAAATGCAAATAAACGTGTAACCAGTTCAAGTACTCAGACA